GATAAGTCGGTTTAAACCGCATTGAAATTGTCCACACGTAAACTGATTTATTTCTAAACCGGTTCCAAACCGCTTTAAGGGCATAGTGTAAACGGGGCTTTAGGCTCTAAAAATTAAAGTAGCATTCACATACAAAGCAAATTACTTTAATACAGGTAAAGGAATAAATACATGTATAATAAGTGCTTACCCAGTTGCTCAAGCATCTTGTCACACTCATCCAATATGAAATGCTTCACATTGTGAAGGTTGAGCGTCTTCTGTCTCACCAGAGCCAGGATGCGACCAGGAGTGCCAACCACTATGTGTGGGCAGTTAGTCTTGAGAGTCTCCTCATCTTTCATGACACTGATGCCGCCAAAGAACACAGAGGTCTTGACCTTATCAAAATACTTGGAGAATCGTTCATACTCCTTGTATATTTGATAGGCCAATTCCCTGTAGAAAAAAAAGAGGAGAAAAATGCATTAAATATCAGACATAAAATGTAAAGATTAAATGTACATAGCACTCATACAATGTGATGATGCTGAATAAAATATTCCTAGCCACACATTTAAAATAAAATTATGATCATTCATTACCTGGCATGGCACATTACAAGAACAGAGACTTGTCCCTCAACTATCTCTAGTTGCTAAAGCGTCGCTATGACAAAGACAGCAGTCTTGCCCATACCTGATTTTGCTTGACAGATGACGTCCATGCCTAAAATAGCCTGAGGAATACACTCGTGTTGCACTATAAAAAGAAAAGAAAAAAAGTAGATCAACATCACATCATATACTACATCAATAAGATAATTAATCATACATGAGATAATTTAGTAGTGTCACTAGCATGGTTACTCTCTCCAATTAATGCCCACTAGGAGCTATGGAAGGAACAGGAATATGCTATTGCCTGCTCAGCTTATCTTAGGTAAGACAGAGGCAGTACTTTAAAAATTAATTAATTAAAATTAATTAATGAGCATTAATTTTTATTAAAAATGAATAATGAAACAAGGAAGTGAACTGCTGCTAATTAATTTTTATTAAAAATGAATTATGAAACAGGAAGTGGGCTGCGCTAATTAATTTTTATTGAAAAGATTTATTAAATGCATTAATACATAAAAGTCATAAAATGGCACTATGCTGAATAAAAAATAATTATTCCTAACCACACACTCAAATAAAAATAATTAAGATCAATAAATTGTATTTATTCACTTCTCTTACCTGGCATAGCACATTACAAGAACAGAGACTTGTCAGTCTATATGATTCCTCCTAGCTGCTGACCACGCCTTCTTTGCCCGAGAGCTACCGAATGACATCATCACTTTCTCAAGACCCTCAGAATACTCTTCCTTGGATAAGGACTTACGCTTGGAGGGATTAGGATCAGTCACTGGGGTATCAGTTTTACCTGTAGAGATCAAGCACATAAAGAGACATGCATCAACTGTTTGCCTGTTATGCATGTACATGTACAAATTCATGGGCAGGAGGCCATGACTCAAAATAATTTGTTACTGGCATGGCCTTGAACTTCTACATAGCATAAGGACATCAATATGTATCAGAAAATGTAATAAAAATTGGGTGTGATTTTGGAGCCATTTTTTTGAAAAAACATGGGTTATATAGCCTTGGGAGTTTTCCAGAAATTGACTCATTTTAAAATGGCCATAACTCGAAAAGTAGAAGTCGGAATCAGCTCAAACTTGCTATGTAGCAAAAGGACATCAATATGTATCAGAAAACATAATAAAAATTGGGGGTGACTTCGGAGCCATTTTTTGGGAAAAACCATGGGCTATAGCTTTGGGGATTTTTCAGAAATTGGCTCATTTTTTAAAATGGCAGTAACTCGAAAAGTTGGAGTCAGAATCAGCTCAAACTTGCTATGTAGCATAAGTACATCAATATGTATCAGAAAACATAATAAAAATTGGGGGGGGGGGGGTGATTTCGGAGCCATTTTTTGGAAAAAACCATGGGCTATATATAGCCTTGGGCATTTTTCAGAAATTGGCTCATTTTTAAAAATGGCCGTAACTCAAAGAGTTGGAGTCGGAATCAGCTCAAACTTGCTATGTAGCAAAAGGACATCAATATGTATCAGAAAACATAATAAAAATTGGGGGTGATTTTGGAGCCATTTTTTGGAAAAAACCATGGGCTATAGCCTTGGGCATTTTTTAGAAATTGGCTCATTTTTTTAAAACGGCAGTGACTCGAAAAGTTGAATCTGAATCAGCTCAAACTTGTTATGTAGCATAAGGACATCAATATGCATCAGAAAACATAATAAAAATTGGGGGTGATTTCAGAGCCATTTTTTGGAAAAAACATGGGCCTGTATAGAATATACAATCATTAATAGATACATGTATTCTACTGATGGCTGGCTACAGAGTCTACCATACCTTTGATATAAGGTGTCATATGAAATATATCAGTATTATGTAACTCCATAGTACCAGTCTCTTTATCAAGAACACCAATCATATACCTACATGTAAGTATTAATTACTAAATTATATTAGTTTGTAACTCACAGAGCCTTAATTTAAAAAGATTATCTAAGCGCGGCTACTAATTACGCATATAAACACTACAGGTCTTTTCACACTAACATAGTTTTGAAGCTCTTTGATGCACTTTGTTGATACTATTCACCTCTGGAGGTGAAATGAGAGTGATGTGCATTAATTGGAAACTACCCTACATGTAGTGTGAATACAATTAATACAAATCAATGTGCATTACTTTTGCCAGTGTGAAAAGGTCTTTAATTAAATAGTCTTGTCACATCATTTGCTGAAAGGGGTGTGGAAAAATTATAAATAATGTCATCTCTCACTTTCTAAAAGGGAAGGTGCTCATGGTTCCCTCAGTCTCGTAATTGGTACCAATGTACGTCATGTGGTCCGTCTTTGTAACCAGTGTTCTCCTCTTCATACCTTTCTCTTGGTAA